TCAACAAATTAACCAACAAAGAGAGCCACCAAATTGAGCTGGGTAAGATTTTACCTACATTTTGGTACCCTGAAAGGAACCTGTGGTAAATACGAGTAGAGCTGCTGAGGTTGCGTGGCAGGTAGAAGTTGGTGTTTGAACTCAAAGAAATGGAGGCACACCTTCATATGTTACATAGGGACGCTTCTTAATACGAGTTGACCTCAAACCTCAATAAACGTGTTTGGCTACATTTGGGAAAAGGAATGGGAATTTCGTAACCCTTAAATTCTCACTCCCTACCACTATTTTCCACCAATCAAACATGCTGAGGAAAAATGCAAATAAAAAAGGAGCGATGGTGACACCATACCACACCCCAGAGTGATTATGTCTTGTACTGAACAATGCAAGGTGCTTAGCAAAATAAATCAATTTTTTTCTTAAACAACAATGTTTATTTCTATAGATTGAATACAAAAAAGCATCGATGCTTAAAATAATGAGCTCATTTTCCTAAGCACATTCGCTAAGCCCCTTGCATTTGTAAGGCCCAGGGTGCTAAATGAAGCCACTAGGGCGAAGCGGCAACGGCTTAGGGTAGCAGAAAGCCAGAAACCTAGCTAGATTGGCATGGGATTTTCCATCAAAAAAAAGTGATTGGCATGGGGTTTTCCCTCAAAAAAGGAAAAAGAAGAGATATTAGCATTGGATTAGGGCTTACTAGCACATATGCCTGTGCGTTACAATGGGAGAAATTATTGTGCCCACTGTCCATCGAAACGACCGTCATCATGGCATAATAACATCCAAAAGTGCCACCTAAATATGTTTGTGCGTTGCAATGGGACAAAAAATCACCTCACTCTCCTATCCCAGTAAGCAAGTGATGATTTGAGACTAAACACAACCTAAAACATAAGCAATGATTTGATTTATGATACACATCAATTATTCCCAGATGAATAAAAATTGGGTGCTTTCACCATCTTTGCAAAAGGCTACTCTGCATGACTATTCAACAATCAATATTATAGAAAAGCTAACCTTGATTGATCAATGTGAGCTTGCATGGGTAGTTGTTCAGTTACTCCCAAGATATGCAAATTAGCATAAGTAAGTATCAGTTTTCCTAAAAGCACGATGAAAATAATAATATGATTTTGGCCTTGAAGATGAACAAAAAAAAGTAATTCTTCTTGTTGATGAACAAAGAAACGTAACATGCATGCTAATCTGCATTGCACTGAGAGGATCCCAATCCTTGCAAAATATTTCTCTAGCACACTTCGAGTTATGCAAAATCCATATCATGTCAGATAGAAATACATGAACCGGCAAAAAAAATAGAATTGTCACTAGTAGAAAACAGGGATTTGGTCCAGGCCGGGTCAGCCCATTAGTCCCGGTTCAGTCTAGAACCGGGACCAATGTGGGCATTGGTCCCGGTTCGTGAGCCCAGGGGGCCGGCCGGGCCACGTGGGCCATTGGTCCCGGTTCATCTGGACCTTTTGGTCCCGGTTGGTGGGATGAACCGGGACCAATGGGCCTCGCTCCTGGCCCACCACCATTGGTCCCGGTTGGTGGCTTGAACCGGGACCAAAGGCTCCCCTTTAGTCCCGGCTCATGTCACCAACCGGGACCAATGAGGTGCCTATATATACCCCTCGCTCACGAGCAGAGCACCCCAGTGCTCTGTTTTTCTCTGGCCGAGGGGGAGAGGGCTTTGTGGTGCTCTAGCTCACCTCCTATGCACATGAGGTGTTCGATGGAATGCCCGAGCCACACTACTTAAGCTTTCTCCTCTCGAAGCTCGACCTCCAAGCTCCATTTTCCTCGAGATTTGTCTAGATTTAGCGGTCCGTCACGCCCCGTCCCCGCCTTCACCGCCGTCGATCACCCGCGCCGATCTCATCACCGACACCACCGTGGCGAGCCTCTTGTTCTTATCTTCTTTCTGAAAGGAAAAATATTCTTACTTGTATGTTTAGATAGATACTTGTATCATTTTCTTACATTTATTATTGCATCTTATATAGTGTGATGGTTTTGGTATCCGCCCCCGTCGGCCCTCGTCCTGTCTATGATTCAGATGTGGTATGTATATTATCTTTATAACTATTGGTTCATTTATTGTTTATGAAAATTATGCCGACCAACGTGACATAGATTTTATTTATCTAGGATGTATGTGAATCGAAAATGCCAACCGACCCTATTGTCGAGAGGTTAAATTTAGTTGAAGAAGAAAACAATTTGTTGAAGGAAAAAATAAAAAAAATTGAGGAGGAGAAGATGATATTGGAGTTGCATGTTGCGGATGTCGTCGATGATCACAAGATCAAGATGGATGCAATGCGCTTGAAGATTAGAAAGATTAGAAAATATGCCATTCATACCGAGGCTTGGTATCATTATGCCGTTGGATCAATTGTTACCTTGGTTGCGATTATGATCGCATTTCTTTTCGCATTGAAATGTTTTACATAGTTTCAATGTATGGTTTAATTAATTAGATGCTCTGGAGAGCTATATGTTGTTAGATGAGAACTATGTATGCACTTTGGTTTTAATGTGATGATGAACTTCTATTAATTTGGACACTTAATTATATATAATGCACGCAGATGAACTGGCAATGGATGTACGGTGACAGACACACCTGCGAGTACATTAAGGGCGTGCATGAGTTTCTCGATGCGGCTGAGGCAAACAAGCAGAATGGTTTTATGTGTTGTCCATGCACTGAATGTGGGAATACGAGGTCTTACTCTAACCGGAAAATCCTTCACTCCCACCTGCTTTACAAGGGTTTCGTGCCACACTATAATGTTTGGACGAGGCACGGAGAAATAGGGGTTATGATGGAAGACGGCGAAGAAGAAGACTACGATGACAACTATGTGCCCCCTGAATACGGTCATGCTACAACGGGGGGAGCTGGTGAAGATCAAGAGGAACCAGACGATGTGCCCAATGATGCTGCAACGGGTGAAGCTGCTGAAGATCAAGAGGAACCAGACGATGT